ACAAGCTCTCAACAGTATGACTTCCCATTCTAGTGCATCAACAGTCAGAAGAAAAATGAAAGAAAATGGTGCAATTGAGGTTATTCTACCCTTTCTTACTGAAAGTAACATGAAAATCAGGACTTCTGCCTTGGATTTACTTTACACCCTTTCAAAACATTTACCAGAGGAATTGACAGAACAGCTGGAAGCAACCCACCTTAAAGTTATTGTTGACATTATAGCATCATCAACATCTGAGAGTGAAAAATCTGCTGCAGTTGGCATTCTGAGCAATATACCGATCAATGATAAAAAAGCTACAGATGCTCTAAGAAGGTCAAACTTGTTGCCCATTCTGATCTCCATATTGGCTACCAGCACTCCAACTACTTCACAGTTGCTATTAGAGAGTTTGGCTGGTGTTCTACTTCGGTTTACAGTTCCTTCTGATAGGAAACTACAGCTTCTGGTGGCAGAACAAGGGGTAATTCCTTTACTTGTGAAGTTGCTCTCAAGCAGGTCAATAGTTGCTAAATGCAGAGCTGCTAGTTCACTTGCTCAGCTATCAAAGAACTCATTATCTCTCAGAAAGAATAAAAAAGCGAAGTGGTTGTGTGTCCCTCCTTCTGTGGATGCATTTTGTGAAGTTCATGATGGTTACTGCTTTGTTAAAAGCACATTTTGTTTAGTCAAGGCAGGTGCCATTTCTCCACTAGTCCAAATATTGGAAGGTACAGAGAGGGAAGCCGATGAAGCTGCTCTAAATGCCCTTGCAACTCTTTTACAAGATGAGATTTGGGAAAATGGAAGCAATTGCATAGCAAAGGCATCAGGTATTCAATCCATTATAAAAGTTCTAGAATCAGGGAACATAAAGGCTCAGGAGCAAGCACTGTGGATGTTAGAGAGGATTCTTAGAGTGGAGGAGCATAGAGTACAACATGGGGAATCTGCTCAGGTGGTTCTGATTGATTTAGCGCAAAATGGTGACCCTAGATTGAGACCAGCCGTAGCAAAGCTATTGGCGCAGCTTGATCTCTTGCAAGCTCAATCTAGTTACTTCTGAGACTATTTTTATTTTTTCACGGCACCAGCATTGAGTGTTTGTACGTTTGTTTTATACATTCATATGTTGTTTCCTTGGTATCGTCATTTCCCCTTAATTTCTTGGATCTATTTTTGGATGAACAATAAGAATCACTGCAGAAGTGAGCTAATACCATCATAATTCAACGTGGTTTTATTGCTGAAAATAACACCTGTGTAATTGTCCTCATACAACTTTATCACAGATGACATTAAACAGGCTCTGTCTTCTGCAAACGGCCTTAATTACACTGCCTCTATGTTAAGTGAAACAAGACTCGCACAGCCAGCAGCAACACAAAGCGAAGAGGCTGCAATTGAATTGAGATGGGAAAAATTGTTCAACTCAAGGGTTTACCTTGAGAGTAAAGTAATTATGTCAAAAAATTAATATACATATATATATATATATGGTGGGAAATTGGAAGTACCATCCTTCGATAAAGCTTCTAGTCCTCCCGCCTTCTTTATTTGTTGAATAGTGAGGCCAACATGCTTGTCCTTGTGTATGGTTTTTGCAGACTAAGAAACACAGGTGATTCAGAAAAAACTCTTCGAAAATTGAGAAAAATTAGAAGGCAAAGAGAACTAATCTAGAAAAAATGAGGAAGAGATATGGTAAGAGAAAACTGTCTCAGGTTGGTGCTTGATGCCTGTTCCTTCTGAATTTTGTTGGCCTGCCATTCTTGGAGAAACAGATCAAAGGTAATATCTATGTGAAATCTTTACTCTAATGTATGGATTCCTTAAAATTTACTACATATGTGTCTGCTTGTTGATTCTGTTAAAGAGATTATCTTGGTTTTCAATGCATTTGTTCTGAGATGAGAATCAGAAACTTTCAGCACTATTTTCTTTGCAGACTGATGCCAGCTTTCTAACATAACATCTATTCTTTTGCAAATTGCAACGAAAGAAAAGAAGGAATAACTTTCTAAGAGAACATTGTATTGAACTGCTGAAAGGGGCTGCAATCTGCAGTTGTGATAAATATATAATTTAAGCTTTTGTGTTGTTATTTTAGGGTTTTGTCACTTTTCCAGTTTTTATTATATCTTTCTGTGATAAATGTGCATGGTGAATTCAAACAGAATAACAAAACATTAAGGAAATTCAATAGGATGAAAGAATGATTTTGTACATTCTGATTCTTGAAAGATTGAAATGGGATCTATTCTTTTTGGCTCTTGGCATAAATGAAAAATGCCTTTATAATCTGAACGCATGAATGTGGACTCTTGGGGTGCAATAACTTGATACTTTGCTGAATTTTCAGCTATGTCCTCCATGTTGTTGACAGGCAGTCTCCTTGAGATCTCCAGGACATGAAGCACATTCCATGCATTCAATGAAATCAGCGTGTCATGCGTGCGGCAGAATCAGAATCTAATTAAAAGTTTTTAGTTCTGTTATAGCTTCCTCAAATACTATTTGTGTTTTCTTGCTCAGATATGCTTGTCACCATGCTTTCCTTGTTTGCATCTGTTCTCTGGAATCAGAATCTAATTAAAAGTTTTTGGCCCTATTTTTCTTACAGATTGATGCCACCTTTCTAACATAACATGTAATACAGAACTATTCTTTCACAATGACATGAAGGAATAATGTTCTATGAAAATCTACTATTAGATGTGATTTGGTAATAAAGTTACCTGTACTTTTAGTCATAAATAAGCTGAAAGGGCATGGGTAATTCTCACTGTAATCTGCAATTCTGGTCAATAATTAAAGCGTTATTTCTAATTATTTAATTCTTAGGGTTTTCTAACTTTTCAGGTTCCTTTCCTAGCAAGCTTTTTTACATCTTTCTATGAGAAACAATGTGCATGGTAAATTCAAACAGATAGCATAGTATGGAAGTTTAATATTAATAGAATTGGAAATACACAGCGCAAAATCAACAAAAAAACAAAAAAAGCATTGATTTTTTCGGAGAATCAAAGAATTATTTTGTGCTGATTTATAAAAGATTCAAAGGGCATCAATTCTTTTGCTTTTGGCGTCGATGAAGAATGCCCTTGTAATCTGAACGCATAAATGTGGATTCTTGGGTGCAAAAACTTCGTACTTCGCTGAAAAAGCTATTTCCTCCATGTTTCTGACGATGAAGTCAAGGGCAGTTTCCTTGAGTGTTTTGTTTGAACAAACATCTGAGATCTCCAGAACATCAAGAACATTTGATGCATTCAAGGAATCCAACATATAGTGTTCGCAGAACTCTTGCAAGTATGGAATTTCATACTTATCAGCCGCAACAAACAATGAAAATACATGTTTCTCCAGCTTCACTGCAGGCAAACTTCCGCTGTAGAGGAACTCCAAGAGGGACTCGAGCTCTTCGGTATTCAACTCAGGGAGGGTAATAGTATCATCTGGTGCGGCCTTGCAGCCATCTGAGTCTAGCATGTTCTTGAAGATTTCTGATCTTGCTGCCTGTGAAATTTAAGTAAAATAATATGGTATTAAAGAAGAGAAGGATTTTCAGGTGTTTGTAAAATTTACTAGGAGAGATGGAGACCAGTAACGCTCTGTGTGCTGGTATGCAGGGACCATTGTTCCCTGGCTTGAGTTGTATATCTGTGTGAATTTGTTCTCTGAATGCCACAATAAGCCCACTCAAGAAGTTTATTTGCTTCTTAAGATCATCTTCGGTTTCCTTCATGTTACTCATCCATTTTGTAACATTTGCAAGTGGCTGAGGTTTAAAAACGCGAGGAAAGAGCAACATGAAAACAGAGCATCGGGAAAAACAGAGCAATAAGGAAACGTGGAAACAGAGCTTGCCTTACAGGAATTGGGCGGGGGAGACATGACAGAATTGTTTGGCTTTTCCTTTTCAGTTGCTTTACTTTGACCTTCAAGCTTGTTCATCATGGCGATTACGTTTCTGGCTCCTTCATAACAGGCAGTACAGATTGTATTCCTTGGAGGCCTTAGAATAAAGGGCATGGAAGTACAGATAGAGCAATCCATGATTCCTTGTCAAGCCTGCCTTTTTCTTCTTCTCTCTATCATTGCACAAGAGGAAGAAGGGAGAAGAAATACTTGCCATTTTTAAACTCAAAAAATTAGAACATTCCTTAATCATTATTACCAGAAGTTTTTTTGGTTTTTTAAATGGTATTACCAAAAGTTTGTTGAACCTTACTAATAAATTAAATTTGATATAAGCAAGCAACATGTTGGTCTACATATCTTAATCTAGATGAACTGACGAAACAAACCCTCAAATATATAGAAAAAGTGGAAGGTGAAGGGATTAAATTGTCAATGGAGTAAAGGTGAGAAGTTGGTTAGACACTACAAAGAAACCCCTTAGAAAAAAATACTCCGACAATATGGATGCATTAGGAGGGAATCAGAAAAGTTAGGAAGAAGAAAAGGACTTTCCAACTCAAAACAGCAAATATGTGCAAGCAATCGCATCTCATAATCAACTTTCTTAACATTATTGGCCCTTCAAAACTAATATATTAACAAGGGTTTTTCTAACGGTATACTCTAAGAGCACTCTAAGAACATAGATTAAGAAAGCAACTAATGCACATTTTTTTATCATTAAATTACATAAAAAAAATAAAGTTTGACTTTAATTTTAATAACTAACCAATTAAATTAAAACACTTTACATTAATATTAAAACTAATATCAACTCTTTTTTTTTTTTTACATATATTAATGATTAAAAGGTGTATTAACTACATCATCAACTTATGTGCTTAAAATACATGTTAATAAAATCCATATTAAAATAGTTTTCTTAGGCCCTCTTATCCTTCTAACTAATCATAGCCCCAACCATATATGATTATATCAACACATTGATAGGTGCTTAATTATTAAAGATCGAAAACAAATACAAAATATGTTATGACTTAATGAAAATCAGAGAGAACCCTCATTGGACACACATAAACATATCTTTAAAAAGTATAATAGGGATGGTAGTGGTGGCCTCATGCTCTCATGGATCGGTCTCAATCAGGATGGTAAAGGAAAACTTTTCAAATATATGTTTATGGGCCATGGGCCATTGGCCATATCTTGTGGGCTAGAAGATGAAAGATTCTTGAAAATTGGATTGTGGGCCTTGGCCGATTAATTTGGACCTGGGCTGCCTCCTTTCTAGTGCTTTCCAGAGTGTGCCGAAGTCGGATTCGTTTTATTTCTAGAATCTTGAAGAGGAAGAGCCGAACAGAAGTTTCCCGCCAGGTCTAAGAACAAATCAACGAACAGCTAGGTCTCATCGGAAAATTTGAAAAACCGTCGGCATTTAAATTTTTGGTTACGAAAATGGAAAGCGAAGCCAAAAGGAAGCTAGTAATGGAATCAAGAGAAGCAGCATCGAGGAATACAGCCACAAAACCAGGGAGGAGAACGGCGGCGAACGCAGGAGGAAAACGGAAACCACTCGCTGATCGCAGCAACACCATCGCGTCTCTAACATCTTCACAGTCATCCTCTTCTTCTGCAATCAAACCCCCTAAATCCTCCGTTCCCCTCAAATCGCAGCTCAAGCAGGCAAACACGAATGCCGGGTCCTATTTTTCCACGACAACCGCTGACAGCCACCAAAACAATCTGGGTAGCCCGACTCCTACCTCCACCTTTCCTCCGCTGCCTCAATCGACGTCTGTTTCCGGTAAATTTTTTGGGTTTTTTTTATTATTTAGTTGGATTTTGATTTTTGGATTCCTCAGCTGTCTAGGGTTTCTGCGAAAATTATTTACATCTTATTAGGGGCATATCTGAAATGAGTTATGTGGAATTTGATTACAATTTTTGCAAAATAACTGCATGGGTTTCAAGCGTTTTCATGGTTCAGGCTTTCAACTTCATATTTTGTGTCCTCATGGTTTCTGTATTTTGTTGCTGGATTTAGGGTCTGGCACTATTGAGTCTTGTGCTTCAGTTTACACTAGACGGAAGAGTAAAGGCAAAGAAATTACTGAGCCTGAGACTTTGGATTTTTCACAAGTGACAAGGATACTAAACTTGAGGTAATTGTCTTATATTTGTTTGTTGTTGCGGTACTTGGACATGGAAAACAATCAGTCTTTAACCATCTCAATGCGATGTTTAAAATGACAAAAAGCTGTAAATGGTAGCATATCTGGTAGATGGAGCAATATTTATTTAAGTGATGCAATTCTAAGACTACATCACTATTGCATAGTGAATGGAATTATCTGTTAGATGAATTGGTTTTAGACCACATCTCTGTTTGGAAGGGCTTGAAAAAGCTCTCTGCCCAGGCCTTGATGATTATTCTTTGTCCAGGCTGATCTATTATATGATGTAATTATCATGATTTTCCTCATATTTTGTCCCCTTGAATGGTATGCTGATTAATTACTAATGTTGTCTGAATTGGCTGTTTCTTTAATACAGGGACAAGAGTGGACTTGGGAATATTGGTCTATCCAAGTCAAGTGCAGTGCCAGTCCCTGGAAAGAAGATGTAATTATCATGATTTTCCTCCTTAGGTTTTTCCCCTTGAATGCTATGTTGATTAATTATTAATGTTGTTTGAGTTGGTTATTGTCTTTTTCATACAGGAACAAGAAGAATGAAGATGGGAATACTAGTCTATCCAAGTCAAGTGCGGTGCCAGTCCCTGGAAAGAAGAAGTAATTATCGTGATTTTCCTCCTTGGGTTTTGGCCCCTTTAATGCTATGTTGATTAATTATTAATGTTGTTTGAATTTGCTATTTTCTTTTTCATACAGGGACAAGAGGATTGAAGATGGGTATATTGGTCTATCCAAGTCAAGTGCAGTGCCAGTCCCTGGAAAGAAGATGTAATTATCATAATTTTCCTCCTTAGGTTTTTTACCCTGGAATGCTATGTTGATTAATTATTAATGTTGTTTGAATTGTACCAAAAAAAAAAAAAATGTTGTTTGAATTGTCTACTTTCTTTTTCATACAGGGACAAGATGAATGAAGATGGAAATATTGATCTGTCCAAGTCAAGTACAGTGCCAGTGCCTCAAAAGAAGGTCTGTTTTGAAGCTTCTGTTGTTTCTAGTTTCTGTTTTCTTTGAGTAGATTATCTTATTCCTTGTCCTTATCTTTGAAGATGATTTTAATAATTGTCAAGAGTTTAAGACCATGTTTAACTTGTCTAGCCAGAGAATGTTCCTGTTAGAATTTATTTACGACACTCTAGTTTGACTAATATTTGGAAAAGCAGTCAATTTTCTGGAATGATTGCTTCTATTGATCTCAAGCTTATTGCATTCTTACTGGTTAATTTGATTTCTTTTTCTTCTTTTTTTCTTCCTCAGTAAGGGATGTTGCTTCATATTTCAATGGAATATCCCTCTCGTTGCTTATGTTTATAGAAAGCAAAGTTGGTTATTGTGTCAATTTTTTCTTATGCATTACGTTATAGCATATGGTGCTTTCCTCTCTCAGGACTTTTCTTTCTGGGCTAGTATTTGCATCACAGAAGATCCTTTGATAAATTGTATTCAGCTAACTCAGTTTGAATATCATGCAGAAGCAGTGCAGGCATGCCTTGCCCAAAGAGTTCATCGAGACACAAAAGGCATACTTTGATGAGATAGACAAATTTGAACTTCCAGTGGAAGAGGTGGTGTCGGTTGATGAGTTGGAGTAAATAAAAGAGTGCATAGCCATGTTAGTCACTTGGGACTGTGCAACCAATGAAGGTGCTCTAACAGACTAACACTATACACTTTAATGTTCACTGTACATATATACATGTATAGTTTCAAGAGTTAACATGACAAATTTTGGTCTTGAATCTCTTGATAAGCATCTTATGCAGTTATATCAATAATACAAATGCTTGATAATCTTCTTCATAATAGTTTGGTGTACACATTTGATTTCTTATTAAGAGTTTTGAAATTTTTGTTTTTGGTTTTTCTTTAGCAAACAAAATGTCATGATAATCCTTTGGTAAGGTCCAACTGTGGGGCCTGCCGTCTGCCACAATGGTGCCAAAATTGGGTGGCACGATATCTTTTTGCGATTTGTGATGTGAGTTATTGATGTCGAGCCATTGTCAAGGGGATGAATTTTCATGTCTGAGTACATATAAAAAAAGTTGGGTGTAGGAAATTTATTATTTTACCCACAATAATACATCAGTCCCAGTCCTAGTCCCACTCCCATCGTGGCAGCAGCAGTGCTTGAAGTTGAAATCCCTGGCCCCTGACCTTTAAAAGAAATGGATTGGGTTTGTTTAATTGTTTCAACTGCACGCTTTTATGGGGAAAAAAATGGTAGATTGTTCTTCACTACTTGTTTGCACAAGCTTTCTTATCAACTTTATTGAGAAAATGGAACAGGAATCCTTATTACATGTGCGGGTGAAAATTTAATTGACTTTCCTGCAATTGATCCTGACTTCACCACTAGTGCCTGTAAGAGGCTTGATGTTGCCCATTTTTACAATAGCTTTGGCAAAATCCTTGAAAAATACTGAATTGTCGGTGGCATATCTTTTAACCAAAAGGGCTGTAGTGCTGCTGCCATTGAAGAGCTCCTCATCAGAATGAAGAATACCCTTATAGTTCACCAGATTCTTGTAGTATAAATTATCAAAGAAAGTCGGCGTCTGAAGGTCAAGACGTGCAAGCACATTATCACTTCCATTTCTTGGGCATATACGCTGCAATGACTTGGCAAAGGAGGGGTCTATATCGGAGTCATTGTAAATTCGTGCTCGAAATGAGGTGCACCTAGTCAGGCCAATGGTATGTGCACCTAAAATCCAGGAGACGATATGACCCATCAATAAGCTTTTCCCATATTATTGTTTAAGAAAAGAACGCAATGTATCTGTAGAGTAGGGAAAAAGAAATAGTACTTACCAGAAAGAGTTACCAAGTCTTGAACAGAGAGGCCCTGTGCAGAGTAGCTTGAGATAAGAGCACTTAGATTAGAGGTGGGTGGAGGGATAGAGGTATTTGAAGCACTCCTGCTTGCAGTGGTAGAATCTCTTCTTCCAAGTTGAACTGTCCACGATGGACCACCTAGCTGCAAAGGCCAAAAAACATCAGGAGTACGAGACACACTCAAGTGTGATAGATGATGATATTGCACAACTTACATAAACAACAGAATGACGAGATGCAAGAGCAAGTATATCAGCGCAGGACACAACTCCAGGGCATGCTTGCTCTAGCGCAGCTTTAATCTGATCCACCACATTGAATCCTCTGGCAGAGTTGTTATTAGGAACTGAAGTTTTCTCGCCTACAAAGGTGGCATTATCATCCAGCAGTACTGACCCATCACACCCCTGAAAATCATTTTGAAAATCTCAACTAAAACCATGAACTAAAAATTAGCGAAAGTGAAGTTATTAATTAAACACTCACGTTAACAAAGCAGTCATGAAAATGCAATCGGAGTAAAGATGCCCCGACGCGTGTTTCATTTTTTATGGCAGCTATGACAACTTTTTGAACAATAGAGGAGGCTTCAGGGCAAGTGGATGAGTAAAAATCTGGGGAGAGTGTTCCATTGGAGGTAGTATTAACTTGAGCTGATGCAGTAACAGCAACAGCAAGCACAAAGAGAAGGAAATGGTAATTACAAGCAGCCATGAAATGTAATTTTTCCTTATGGCAGCTTTGAGTGCTATGATTATGTCCTTTTATAGTGTGTTAAGTATGGTTACCTTAATTTAAATGTGGTTACGTGAACGGATTTAGGAAGCTAACACTGGGAAAGGGTGCAAGTTCATTTTCCTAGTTGCCTTTAGTTTGTTGTGCTGTTCTTTCGCTCTAGAACAGTACAACTTCTCCTTAAACTTAAAGCCTCAAGGTTCGGTCCTCAGATTTCATAGAACCTTTAATTTAATTTATACATATTGCGTACCGATAAAAGGAAAGAACTTATCTGAGTGGTGAATGCACCGTTAAGCCTGCTACTTTACCCACAAGGACCACGACACAGTAATTATTAGTTATTGCTTCTTTAGCAATGAATATTCATCATATATTCTCGACATTTGATTTCCAATCATGAATTATTACATAGACTGATGAGGAAAGCCCTCTATCAGTTTGCTTTTCTGCAGTTGATTCTTATCTCTCCAGCAGTACCTGTGAGAGGTTTGATGTTCCCCATCTTGACCATACCCTTGGCAAAATCCTTGAAGAATTCGGAAGCATCTTGAGCATACATTTTAACCAGAGATTCAGCAGAGGTGTTGGTGCCATTAAAGAGTTCTTGGTCAGAATGAAGAAGACCCTTCTTTTTCAACAGATTATCATAGTATAATTTATCGAAACAGGTCGGAGTTTGGAAATCAAGGGGTTCAGTGACATTATCATTTCCACTTTTGGGACACTTTTTCTGCAGTGACTCGGCAAATGAGGCATCTATGTTGGAGTCATTATAGATTCGTGCTCGGAATACTGTGCATCTAGCCAACCCTATGGTATGTGATCCTACAATTTATATATACAAGATTAATTATATATGAGATTATATATATGTATATATATATATATATATATATAAAAGAAAAGGACTGAATATCTAAATGAAATAAAGTTACCTGAAAGTGCCACCAAATCTTTCAAGGAGAGTCCTTGAGCAGAAAAGCTGGAAATGAGAGCACTTAGATTGGAAGTTGGTGCAGGAATTGAGGTGTTAGCAGCTGCTCTGCTAGCAGTCAAGGAATCTCTTCTTCCTAACCTCACTTTCCAAAAAGGGCCACCTAACTGCAAAATGTGAAAAATTTTACTTCCAACTTTGAAGGTAATTAAGCCAATCTAGCAAGTAAAATTAATTAGTAGTAGAATGGTAGTTGGTGGGTGCTTACAATAATAACAGAGTCCCTGGCAGCAATAGCAAGAATATCAGCACAAGACACCACTCCTGGGCATGCTTTCTCCAGTTGAGCTTTAATGTCATCAACCACATTGAATCCTCTAACTGAGTTGTTGTTAGGTACTGCGGTTTTCTCCCCTATGAAAGTAGCATTATCATCCAACAGAATGGACCCATCACAACCCTGTGACCATTGTGCATATACATGTGATTCATCCAATATATTATCTTTACTAACCCATGAGAGAATTGGTGGAAGTTAAAATGACTCACATTAACAAAACAGTCATGGAAGTGCAGCCTGAGCAAAGACGCCCCCATTCTCGCTTCCTTTTTGATAGCAGCTTCCACGCCTGCCTGGACAATAGACAATGCTTTGGGGCATGTAGATGAGTAGTACGTAGGGGAGAGTTTCCCATGGACTTGAACAGATGAAGCAATGACAGCAACCATAAGCAGGAGTACGAAGTGAGTTTGTGTAGCCATCACTTAGCCTGGAGAGTTCTAGCTAACTCCAGATTAATCCTAAATAAATGTATGGACTAGACCGTGTCTGTGGTGCGTATTCCTTTCCCGTGACGATGAATCATATATATGTCGCGTTGCATGAAGGGCCCCTAAGTTAGCCACTACAGGGGACCTCAGATTCCGCAATTTGTCACACTTGATATTCATCAACAGCCTCAAATTTCACATCATTATCAGAATTATTAGTACCTGTTTTTTTGAACCCAAGGATAACATGCATGTCCCAGCGAAATCAATCATGTCAGAAAATAGAAGTCACTTTTTTCTCAATAATGTAATTAAATCCTAAGAAAAATCAAGCAGAAAGTAATGGCATCAAAGCTTTTGGTCTTACTTTTTCATACTCTCTGGTAATAAGACAACCTGCAAAATTAAAAAGGGTGGCCACCA